ATTAAATGTGTAAACCAAAGGTGCCACTATGCGCCACTGCACTTCAGATTCGCCATGATAAAATATATCCATGGCGTCCAAAGCACCCCGCTCACCAGCTCCCACCTCTCCATATATGATACAGAATGACCTCCAAAATCTTCTCCCACCATGTAACCCTTTATCCCGAGGGATCCTACCGCTTCGCTACCGCTTCGTACCGTCCACCGAGTGGCCAAGCCCACGGCCTCCGCTCCGAAGATGTCGCTCAGCTGCCGGCGCTTCTGCGCGGACAAGGCCTTCAGCGGTGAGGTGTAGATCATCCGAGCGCCTCGGAGGGAGCGAAGGAGGCAGCGCGCAGCAGCTGTGTGTGGACGGATGGACACGGATGGACACGGGTGAGTGGGATTTGAGTGGGAAACACTGATCCTCGAATCCAGGTCTTGCAGGCTATCCACTCACAGGGTAGGGTCAAAGAACCCAACGTTTTGGAGCCAAAGCTTGGAGATCTTGGAAGAAAGCACAACGGACATGTTGGTTATACTGGCTAGACCAATGGCTTAAGAAGTGCATCAAACTGGTTTGGGGGCCAAGTTTGGAGCCCTCTCGGAGCGCCACGTTCGATGTCGGCCTTAGGTCGTGATCGTTGGATCCACTCGGAGTGTCTATGTTGCTTCCTCCCTAGAAGTAAGATCTGGCTTTGTCCATTCCATTCCATTCCTCCAATTATATATATAGACGGAAAACAAGTCCTTTAACAGGAACAACAACCGTTTGCCTCATCAGCGTATCCCATCAAAGGTTTCCAAAGGTGCCAAGGCGCCCTGCAGTAGGGCTTGCCATGCTGCAGCAATGGCAATCGCAGTTTTGCCCGAGCCTGTGGGCAAGCAGCAAAGCACATCCTGCAGGTGCTGAGAGCGCGCCCTAGACGTCCAACCGTTGTTTTGCCATGCGACCAAAACCAGGTCAACCATCTGAGAACATGGAGGTCCTTGCCCTCGGCCACTTGCCGCGCTGCCTCTTTTTGGGCCTCATCCAGCTCCTGGGGCGGCTGCTTGCAATGCCAAAACAATGCAATGCTATCTGGTAGAACTGTTTTGAACTGAAGGTAGTGGCTTCAGTCAGTCCTTTCGTTGATACTGTCACCTATCTGGTGGTTTTCCTCATTCTGTGACTAGGCCGCCTCCCAATGACCCAGGCTCACCGAAAGACCTCAACTATACAGGTCTTCTGTAAACATTTCTTCAGCCCTATACAGTGTAATACAGGGCCTTCCTTGCCCGATGCAGTCGAGTATAGCTGGATCATGCCAAATGCAATGCTCTCACTATGCTCTCACTTCACGTCTCCCATCACCCCAGGTCGGATCAAGAAATCCACCTCATCAAGGCGGCGCTCTACTACAGTACTAATCAACAGAAGAATAAACCATGCATCAAAAGGCTACAACTGCTCAAGGAGCAGCCTATTCTGCTTCCATCGATCCCATGCACCGGTGAAGATGTCTCGTTTCTCCGTGGTTCCACGCGGGCGCCCCGCGCGGGTTCCGCACGGGGAACCTCCGCCGCGGAACCTCCGTCGTGGTCTCCAAGCGTCGAAGGGGAACAGCTCGGCGATGGCGGCGGCTTGGAGTCGGGGCGACGCATCCAGCCCTCGGACCGGGCGACTAGGAGAGGCACTGCCATTGAGCCTCGTTCACCTCCGGTACTTGGAGACCGGGATCTTACGGGCATTCAGGTGGGAATCAGGAATTTCAATCCACTTGAGATACCATTGTGCTCCAAGCATGGAAATGCTATGGTCCCCCCTCTGCGGATATCTGGAGGAGCCATTCGGGAGGGGGCGCCCGAGTTCCATGACTGATTTCACGCGGTTTCCTCCACCTTTTGGAGCATTCCATCCACCCAACGATTGTGAACCAATGAGTTCACCAGAGTGGGCGGAAGGGGTGGAAGACCCCCGACGGATGTAACCAATATGATCTGTGTGTGGTCTGAATCTTGGCAAGTGCAAACTGGACATGAAAAATAATGTTCATGTCCAGTTTGCATTTATCTTGTAATCTGTAGAGGTTCACGCTTCTTTTGGAGGTCCCTCCCCGTTGATGGTCTTCAACTTGGATCCGGCAACCGCAAAGCCTGCTCCTTGACCCAAAAGCACCACTTCCTGAGATGTCCTGATGAGAAAGCGTGGAGATAGAAAACAACTTATATAATGAATATTGCATGCATGGAAACGCATAGGACCCTGCAAAATCAGTCTTTATATAATATATAGTAACTGAGTCTATACTTAAGTCTATATATAGTGTGGGAAGGGTACATCAAAAGTTCATCTTAGAATATTAACATAGACCCATCTTTTCCCATGACTGATGAAACCCAAGCATCTCCTTAGCTTCTTGAGCTTCTCCTCTGCCTCATCACTGAGTCCCAGCAGCTTCTGGTCGGCCACCTCCCAACAGCTTCTGGTCGGCTTCTCATGGCGGGGTCCAGCTCAAGATTCTGTGCTGAAGTCGAGTGACATTTTTACGCCGGTCTACTTCCTTCTGACAACCCAACCCTTGCAAAGCAGCAAGAGCTTCACAAGAGTTGGACTCCCTATCTCCCCCTACCAATCCGACCCTCTTGTTCGAGGGTTGACCACCACTTGTGTTTGTTTGTTTGTTTGTTTGTGACCAAAGCGACCCAATGCTTACCCAACATCATTCTGTGGATGATATCGATCCAACGTCCAGGACATTGGGATGATTTGGCATTGACATGATCTGGTCATCGACAGCGATGAGCTGTACTATCATCGCTGCCATGGTGCATGAGTGCATGATTGATTCTGTGTGCCCACGATTTCTTACAGTAGGATTCACCACTGGATGCTGTGCACTGCGTTCTCGACCTCTCTGCCTCCACGGCGCACGCAGCGCGGGCGTCTGCGGAGCGCCTGCGCCTTGGCAGTGGAAGGACCTGAGAGAAGCTGAGACTCGAGTCATTGGGGTCAACCAAATACACAGCGTCTTAGGGGCTTTCGAGTGTGTTCTTCTTATCACGTAACGAAAAGACATTCCCAGCAAAAGCCCTCATGGAATTGCATGCCAAGAGTCCGTCAATTCCATTGGGGGACTGCTTGGGTCAACATGAAAAACAAGGGAACAACACAACCTCTTGATAGGCAAAATGGATCGACATGGGATCGCTCGGTTTTCGAGCGAACTCCGAATTGGTCAATCAGCTCCTTCGCCCAGGTGGTGTTTGGGAGGTCTTCGATACACAGCCCCTTGGGAAGGCCATCCGAACATCTCCGAACCCAAGCTGCAAAGACCGCAGGGACCGCCCATCGGCGCCAAGACCGTGTCACGCGGACGGAGACTGTGCCGGTCTTCCGTGTCGGATGCGCATGGAGCGCGGGTGTCGAGGCACTGGCGGCATGGCTGCAAAAGGCAATGGTGGGGTTCATTGCGCCTCTGGTTCTGAGGTGAAAAGTGCGGAATCTGCTAAGGCTGCTGAGGTGCAAAATGGTGTAAATTATGAGTAGGGCTAGAGCCACTTGCAAATAGCTATGCAGTAGGGAGGTTGAATCATGCCATAGTTATAGCCCCTATCACTAGGCTAGCATCAAGCAGAATGGCACGCAGCTGGCTGGATCTGGTCATAGCCTTCCAAACTCACTGCCCCCCCCAGGTGACTCTGGCACTATAGTGACTATAGTGGGGAACTTCAGCCAATCGGTGCAATCATGAATCCGAACATTCGCGCCTTGATCTAAAGACACAAAGACTTTGGCCGGAGAATGCTGTCCCGACAGGACTCGACGGGAGCGGCAAACCAATGGATTCTGATCTACGAAGGTCTCAATTACCGTGACAGTCGACAGTCTAGCAGTCTAGCAGAAAGGATATGGACCCCAATGCATGAGTCCCATCTCTGGCTGGTGGAATAAATCAGCAAACTAAAGTAGCTAGGTCCAAATCCAACCCTATGGACAGTGAAAAAAAGTGACCACGATCAATGGCCCTGGAATATATATCCACTACTGCTACCACTACCACTACGACTACGACTACTACTACGACTACGACTACGACTACCACTACCACCACTACTCCCGCTACTACTTCAACATACATTAACTTTGGGTCTATCCTAATACCTGTAACAGTGGGTGATGATGGCTAGTAAAGGCCCTGTTCAAAAATAGAAATAATATTGTTTACTGACTGTCACAGGTAATAGGACAGACCCAACATTAAAATGTAGGTAAACAGGTGCGTCGCCCTGGAGTGACCCGACTTTGGATTGGCCAAGTGGTGGGTTGCATGAATCAACCTCAGCCAGAAAACAGCCCCGTGCAAGGTCGTTCTGAGGGGCGCGGCTGTTGGAATCTTGGCAAGAAGACGTTCACTCAGCTGAAATCTCTACTAAGGCCTTTTCTCTGTTTATCTATGCAATGTCTGGTGTACACTGCGGGACCCTTACTTCTTTTCCACCCTCAAGGAAGCTTGCTTTTCCCAGCAACCCACGAAAACAGCTGCACATACACCACAGGTTCCTGCGTCCCAGGTTTTCTTGCGCGCGAACACCAGAGTTGCGCGTTCGTGCGAAGATCTTGGGTTAGCGGAGCATTGGACACTCTCAACCCCAAGCCATACCTTCAAACGGGAAGGGCTTTCAAGACCCCTGCTATGGAGGGCCCCTCCCGGCCCCCAATGGAGAGTCCAAAGGATTCTTTGGGAAACAAAACAGCCGTATTTGCCGAGCAGAAAGGTGATGTACATTTTAGCTGACCCGTTCAAGTCCTCTTCTAAGGACAGCTGGTTCTAAGGACAGCTGGTCACACACGTCACACACACGTCACATAGCAACAACCCTTGAGCTCACCCCCAAAATAGTGGAAGCGTATTTTACCTGATCCGTCCACCCAGGCACTCCATCGAAGCTAGGCCTCAGTCATTTAGCCTCACCTGGCACCGCTTGCTCAGAAGACCAGTCACACCATGTCCCACCACGCTGTGCAAGCTCAGCCACTCCACGAAGTTCAGTGAGCCGCTACCGTCGCGGTCCACCTCCCAAGCGCAGAAAGCTAGAAAACCCACGGAGCAAAAACATGTCCACCAGCAAAGGTGGCCCCTCTCTAAGACTCCACCAGTTTATATAATTGTGTTCTATTGGAGATGGTGCTGGATGGTGCTGGTGTTCATAAGAGTTGGGCGGTCAAGCGCCCAACACCAATCTTTCCTGAACATTACACCCTTGATGCAGCAATGACAAACTCCTTGTCCCAAGTCTAAATGTGCTTGGCCAGTCCGGCCCCTTCTAAAACGTCTAAAAGGCGTGGTGCTGAACCCGTGGGCCCCCCCCAAACATCCTCCATCCCAAGCCTTGCACCAAACACTTACATTCTGCAGGTGGTGGATCTTGCTTGGGGTCCCTCAACACCGATCCAGCCCTTCGATCGATCCTGTTCACCCTTCGATCCATGTCGCCTTTCGAGCCAGCTCAGGTGCCAGGTGGCTAGCGGAGAAGCCCAACCAGTGGATCATCACCTGGCAGCTCGTCGTTGGTGCAAAAACATCGACTGGTATCGACGCGTGAAACGAGATGATGGTGAGGCTGCTTTTCCAAAGCCAACGGAAGCAAGAATGGAAACCGAAAAGTGGCTCCAACACCAGGTGTCACCAAGTGTAATGTGTTAATCTGTTTAATAAAAGTTTTATATGTTTGTCTTGTTTCCATGAGACGGGGGTTGACTGCCCTCGTTCGACAAAGTCACATGTCACCACAATTATTGCCCGCACTCCAAAACTATGGAAATCCGTTGGAAATTCTGGTGCTCACCATGAGTTTTAGGTGAATGTGAAGCACTGATCTTGGAACATCTGTCACCTGGATCGATGCGAATCCACGAAGGGGTGGAGAATCAGGTGGCTGGACTGCAGAATTGGGACTGCAGCTTGGGTGAAGAAATGCAAGGAATTCCAAACTCAATCAAGCACTCGAATTAGATATGGATGTCAAAAACAGCATATTGCAATATAGGAAGAATGGGTCTTGAGGTGACATGAAAGAATTTCAATGACCTCAGCGGTTCCAAATGTATAGTCTTTGGACTTCTAAGGTGTACAAAAATACATCTTAATTATTCACAAAGGGGTGCTATCCATGGAGGTTAGGGGTGCCCAGCTACTCCACTCACTTAGAGACTAAACACCACCCCTTTGTGACTTCTGGTCTTAATTATTAATTCTTATGGTCCCAGTCATGGTCCAAAAACGCCTGAAGCATCCCAGTCGACCCGTCTCCTTGACACGTCCGCTTGACACGTCGGTCCCACACCTTCAACTCACCCACATCCACGTCACCTGGACCCAAGGCGATGAGCCTTTTCGGGAGGTGCGGGCAAGCGTCGATGCCGCTGGGTGGTTTGCCAAACTTCCGAAAACGGACCTTTCATAGAGCCTGCAAACCAAAATTCATATACCTGGACCCTCCAAGACGATAAAAGGGGTGTCCTGGCTGGACTACCCCACACTACCTATAGGCTTCCAGACAGGGCACCCCTTGGAGGGTCCTGGTATACATAGAACATGCCCTACCCCCCCCAAACAAAACTCCTCTTTGTCCCAACACCCTGAGGTGCTTTCGGAAGAAGGCTGCGGCTACGCTGAGCTGCTCTTGAAGTCCAGACCACCCGGCACCAGTTTGGGGGGGTCTTTTTCCTCCCCGCCTTGAATCGAGATTGGTGTTTATTTATCCAATCAGCATCCTGAAACTGGGCAATGGGCTGGAAGTGGGAAGAGTGGGGCAACAGCCGCGTTCGCCGTGTTTTCGGACACTCTCTGGATGAGAGAGAGAGAGAGCAGGGTCAAGCAATCTATATATGCTGCATCATACTATATGCTTACAAGCTAGGCTGTGTTTGGCAACTGCCCCAACTGCGCCCACACGTTCTGGGTTCTTGCTCCAATCAAATTGACACCAATAGGAAGCGAGTTGACAAGGTCATAGAAGGTCTAATCATGTAGACTGACTTATTGAAACATAGTAGCTAGTAAAACAGTAGTAAAACATAGTACAGCTCTAAAACCCTTCCTTTTCGCTTGTCTTGATCGAAACCGCATTTCAACCTGTTTCCAACCCACCTGAGCCGTCTCGATCGTTCATGGTGAACAGCAGCTGAAACTCCTCATACTCCTTGGTGGAAAACCTCAGGGCGTGAGAGGGGCCCCCCCCCAAGGCCCAAGCCCTCATGTTCAACACGTGGTGAGGGTTCGGGGAACTCACAGTCCAAAGAAACCAGTTCAAAATCCAACTCTTCAATTGAAAGGGGGCACCGATCCATGAACTCCCCCCCGACCGATCCAACCTCACTCTCGCTCCAAAGGAGTTGGGTGGAGGGGAAGCTCGGGTGGGTCGACATCAGGTCGACGGACCTGGGAAGAATTCGAGTGTTCCTGACCCTCTCAGTTGTCCCCATCCACGTTACAGGGGTTTCAGAGCTTCGATGGCAGCACCCCAGTGCGATGTCTGTTATACATGGGGGGCTCCTTATGGGTCCTTATGAAAACCACCAAACTGGGGGATGGCGCCATCTACTCTGAAGCCACTGTAACTCTTTTTTGTCCATGGTGTTGGGATTTTCGTGGGCATCACCATGTCATTCTTCCGAACTCAGAAGGCACCAGAACAAGGATTGGTAAGCCATCCGTACCGGTGTGTAGAGAAACGCCGAAATGCTCACACCAAAATCACTGAATTACTACAGCATCACCACCATTTCTGGTTTTGAGGTGTGAGCCATATTCCATGCCGAATCAAAAAAAACAAAAAGTTCAACCGCTCAACCCATCAGTTTCTACATGACGTTGCAAGCTGTTACTTGTTGCTGCACGTCTGGTTCCCAAACATTTCTCTGAAACGGTTTATAGAACGTATTTGACTTGTTAACTTGTTGATTTGATGATTCAATCCCCTCAAATGTTTCCTGGTCCGCAAACAGTCTCTAGCCGACCAGGCCGACCACAAGCAGTTCTGGCCATGGGAAAACCCGGAGAGGAAAGGACCGACTCAAGTGTTAGCTCCTAAGAACCGAGGGTCAGGTGAATGTGTTGGGGCTTCAAATTCCTGCCAAAAAGCAGGGTCAAAACACTCCTCCAATGTTTGGTTTGAAAACAACACATTCAATGTTGCTTGGGGCATCTTAGGGTTGACATATTCCAGCGCAGTCCATCTCCCATACCTTCTCAATCGATTCCGAACCTGTTTCAATCCTGGGAGCAGCCGTGCTTCGTGGGTCGTCCGCCTGACACCGACACCGGGGCGCCCACCCTTCGCGTTGCAGGATCAGCGGAAGGGCGGCCTCAAAGTCGGACAACTCTAAAGGCTTTCCCTGGCCGCCGCGGAGGGTTGGAGCGCCTGTGGGGTGTCCCATGCCTCTTCATGGGGGTTATGATATCAAGAGTCTATATAGTAGCGATGCCCTTGCTCCTGGTAGTAAGGCCAGGAGCCCCTAGTAGCTTATTGTTACTAGAGTCTACAGTATGGCATAATCATTATGGATTTGTCATGTTCCGCAGCTCATGGAAGGTCACTCTTCGCTGGTCACACCAAAATCACGTGGCGGTGGGTGCCTTCGGTCTGCAAACCACGGTGTGTGGGGGGGGCATTGCTCCACCGTTTCCCATGGAAAAACAAGGTGTCACCTTGTTCCAACTTTTGGATTTTAACAAACCAAGGCCTGGCTAAACAGCACAGAGTTACCCTCCAAGTCCAATTTTTGGCTTGCCATCCATTTCATGCCTGACCCATGACCCGAAAAGGTGACCGGCAGGTGGTCCATTGTTCGGTCGGAGAAAAGAACATTTTTTGGAGGTTGAGTTGGCCTTGCTTGATCACACACATGCAATGCCTGGCAGCTCTCGGGAAGGAGACGGATTGTGAATCCCCTGCCATGTCATGAAGGAGAAGATTGGAAAAAGTTCAAATCACACCCACAGGCTCAGTGCACCACCTGGGAATTTCCACTTTCCGTTCAAACCTTTGGAGTCAATTGCATACCCACAGGATCAGTGAGTTGTAGTGGAATCCAGCTGGGCCTGTCAGATTCATCCCCCACAGCGCCACAGACCACTCATGGCCGCGCATCGCACGAGTCATTTTGGCAGGCCACCCAAATCGCCATGGCGGGCAGCTTGCATACTCTCACTGCAGCGGCGTGGCGAGCACTGAGCTTTAGAAGTAACGATGTTCTGCTTCTACAGGGCAAATGGGCCCGAATCAAAAGTACTTTGACGCACCTGGAGTCTCAGTTTGTACCTTATATGTCCGTTTCTTTTTTAATATATAGGGTCATGAGTCATCATGAGTCATTTCCCGGGCCCATGTTCTAGGATCCGAACACCGAACACCTAATATATCCAGAAAAGTAACTGATCCACAAGTATATTGATGTTTAATTTGTTTAATGTCCAGGTTACTTAGGATTCGAACACCGAACACCGTCTCTCCTCACTGCGAGACTGGCCTGAAAAGGAGGCCCGCCATCCGCCGTGGCTTGCGGCATTGTGTTGGGCGCGTTGATGCGGCGTCCAGAACGGCGAAGACTGGCCGCAGGCTCTTCGGGGAAATTGATGTTTCAGGTTTCAATATGTTTCAATCATATGAAGTGAACGAACCTAATTCTCCCATGTCCTAATTAATCTAGAAAACGGATTTTTGAGGGTAGTCTCCCAATTTTCGACCGTTTGCAAATGGTTTGGTCATTCGTGTGTGGGATGGCGAGTCTGATCCTCTGCACATGGCCAAGGCACAAGTCCACAAACCTAGGCCTAAGAACCATCCAACCATGTTTTGCCACAAACGCCCCTAAAGCATCCCATTGTTGCTGGGTTGAATGTTGACCGCACCTGTCTGCGACCGCGCCTGTCTGCGACCTCGTCTTCTCGCAGTGCGGCCAAAATTTGGCAGGGTGAAACTCCACGCTGCGTCATGGCCCAGCTGGAAAGAGGTTTTATGCCCCGTGTAGGTGCCCTTGAGGTGAAGCTTGCTCGATTGCTGATTTTGAGAAAGGGAACATTTGGGAGGCAACGCTGCCACTAAACTAACCGGTACGACTGGTCGGAGTTAGAGACTTGTCATTTGGCCCAAACATGCCAGGAAATCGCAAGAGCACGAGCAAACATGTGAATCTGGGCACGTTCCAGCCACACTCATGGGGGAGAGTTGTGTTTGCCGGATCTCAGGATGGGGGATTTGGCTCGCTTCCAATAATCACTCAATGCGCATTCCAAAGGCTCGTCTCAGCTCTCCTTCTACAATATGTTAGTCGACAACAGTCATTCCCCAGATTTCCTGTTTTTTGTGATTGGTTGATATTGGTTGACAATAGTTCTCCGCATCGAAAGGATCTTGGGGGCCAAGAGCTTTGCGCCGCGTGGCCATGCGCTACGCATGGGTGGTGCACTTCGGCAGCGCAGCGTAGCAAGGAAAAGAGCAGCGGAGAGGTCCAAAGGGGGCCCCCCTGATCTTCGGCTGCTCATTCGAGCAGTTCAGTCCAGCAAACTCGCAACCGACCTCCCATTGGAAGAATTTGGAAGAGCTATCATACAATATCTTACACGAAAACGAAGACATCACATGGAAGTGGAGTTCACCCCCTGTTTGCAGAGGAAAGGAGGACAAAGTCGTCTCGGGAGCATGCCATCCGGTATATGTTTGAGGAGCGCCGGCCTGTATTTGTTTAAACCTCACAACCCGGAGAAAGCAGTTCGATGGAGATAAAGCTAAACAAAGTGTCTCGTGTGGGTGGCGATACTGGGTGTGAGCACAGCAGCTGGCAGTGCAATTGGAAATCACTGGAATAGAGCGAGAAATCCCATTCGTTGGGCCCATCATTCTGGGATCTCAAAGAAGCACAAGCACAAGCACCAAGGCTTGCTCGCTGTGGATCCAGTTCCCCATCCCCACGTCCCTGCCCCCAGTTCCCTGTCCCAAGTTCCCAGTTCCCTGAGTGTCTTAGTATTTATTTATACAATACTGCTGAATCGAGTTCTCGGTCTCACGTCGGATCCTTCGAGGTCGAAGCGAAGCCGGGGGTGACGGTTCTTCCGTTCCGAACTCGGAAGATCGGGATGCCCAGAACATCCACATCCACTCACCAACCCCTTATATAGCGACTCACAAGTTAACCCCTTAGCGACTCAACTCCGGTTGGAACCACGGCGATCAAATACGCCGTTGGAACCACGGCGATTCACCGATACGTGCTGCTACGTGCATGGCATGAATCGACGTGCTGTTATACGTACGTGCACGGGTCCGTCTGACAGCTATATAGGGTCTTCCATCCTGGATTTTGCATGCAAAGTTTGCTTTTGTGCTTTGGACTGGGAACTTCTACAAACGACTTGCCCAGCGGAGATCTATATAACGCAACATCTGGAAGGCTGGTTGGAGAAATCAAACGGCGTGGCTAGTTGCTAGTTAGTTCTATAAGATTTTCTAGGAAACACCTGGCCAGGAGGAGGCAGCATGTGGACACATCATTCTGAGCCAACCTTCCAAAAGATCTGCTTTCTTCCATCGCGTGTTAAGAACTCAAGAGTTTCGATGATCTGGCTTATGCGCTGGAATCCTGGCAGTCGCCGGGTCAATGGCTCTCTGGGGCTAGCCTGGCACATGAATGAACATGAATGGCATACCAGCACCGCTACCAGCACCCTGTACTATCGCATGGAGTGCCCCAAAGAAAACAAAACGTGCCCCAAAGCTGAAGGCACAGGGCATCGTTGGAACTCTGAGAGGTCTCTAGGGTCGAACCCGTGGACTTGTTCGACCGAATGGGCAGCTCCTTTTCCTCCCCAACATCACTAGCTCGAAGGAAGCCAACGGCGATTCTCTCTCTCCGTCTGTTGGCTTCACGAAGAGCTCCCGTCGAGCTGAGCTCGAGTCCACCGCTGGACGTCTGACTGGCCTAAAGAGAGGATGCCATGAGGACACCTTCTTGTGGCGGAGATCTGGCGGGCGAGAAGGGGAGGGTCGACGGTAGGGTTTCGGGTGTGCCGCTCTGGGTCACAGAGAGGATGAAGAGATGAAATTGAAAAAACCAACGAGGAAGAGTTGACGGAGCGGCTCGACGGCTTGCGTGAAACCTACCCAGTTCTCAATCACACAAAGCCCCCCATGTCAATGTCCATCCATTTCCAGTTTTTTTGTTTTTTTGGGGGTCCATGTTGTCAGGTTCACTTGCTTTCGGGTCGACAGGCGAGGTCTCACACCCCTGGTCGTACCCATCGCATGAGGTCGTACCCCTGGTTTGAGGCCTCTGGCCGATAGGATCCGATCGAACAAAGTAGGTTTTTCTCAGGAAGTCTGACCCCACTCAAACACCACGTGGCGCTCTGAGAGGCATTCTCTCACTCTCCCTCTGTGGCGACTCACTTAAGTGGCGACTCACTCGCTTGGGCCCTTGGAGATCCCTCTTTCATGTGGATATGTGGGTGGTTGGACACAAATTGCTTTGCGTCAATACGGAGTGCATCGGAGTACACAAACTCCCGCGTTTTGAATGGATATGTCCATCAGTGTCCATCACATTCCATCAGTACTTAGATCATTCTCGGGTGCAAATCTAAGTCAGCCACTTTGTTGGAATCAAGTTCCTCTTGGGCTCAGGATCTCCCCATTGCCGCTTCCCCGGTGGGAGGGCATCGCTATTGGGTTGGAGGCCGTCGCTATTTAGGTGTCTGAAAGTCTTTTTTTTGCACACCAGGGGTCACAAGACGGGGTGGTGTTTAGTCCCCTTACGTGAGTTCAGATTTCTGGGCACCCTAAAAAACCTCCATAGATCGCACCCCGTCGAACGTGACCCCTGGCACGGTATTTGTTTGCTACTCGTTTCCTCCCGGCCCCGTTCGTAGCCCAGTTCGTAGCGTCTGATCTCCGTTCGGTTCGCGATGCCATCCCCTAATAGCTTCTTGTTACTACCCTAGGGCTCCAAGTACCTTCTTATAAAAGGTGTTTGGGGAGGGTTTAGAGGGTCCAAATACCTTCTGAGGAGGTACTTCGCCCTAAACTAGTAAGGCCAGGAGGTTCGTTCGTCGCGTCGCTCCTCGCTGGGCCCTCCCGGCCTACTGTGGGGGGAGAAGTCGTCCGAGGTCACCGGCGGGCTGAGGCTCTCGGGTGAGGCCTGGCCGCGCCAAGAGCCCCCGCGGACGCGGACGACGCGTTCGCTGCCGCTCGGGAACCGAGAAGCTTTGAACCGGTAGAACGTTGCCAAGGTGGCACCTGTACTGTTGAATGAAGCACCATATCGCTTCATATAGCTTCCGATTTTTTCTATGCCTTCCAAAAAGCCCTGGATTTGATTGATCAACTGCAGGTGAAACCCTGATTGCAATGATTGCTATAAGATTGTGAGATGTTACAGTCGAGGCCACCGAGGCAACTTCTTTCTATTCGGGTCTTCTGGCCCAGTATGCTTTGCAGTTTTTGATGGGACCGTGCCGCCCATGGCGCCTGTGGCCCATAAGCATTCAAGATCTGCTCATCCACCGTCTCCTGTTCCACCACCAAGGCCAACCAAATGTTGTGAATGGAGGCTCTTCATAGGTGGAATTCACCAAATACGCTGGACAAATTCGAGTCTTTGCCACTGGACAACTCCCCGACGCGCAGCTGGACCACACCCAAACTCACCGCATCAAAACATCCAACACATGCACGCATTTTGGCAGTGTACCATGTTCCCTCCTATCCGGGGGTTATCCTTCATGGCTAATAGGTGTTTGGACTTGAAACATGCAGTAGCTGCTCAAATGAACAACGCAAAGCGGTCTCAGTCGTAGTTTCGGAGACCGAGATTTAACCACCAAACTGTGGCAACTGGACTTCCAAGAGTTAGCATCTTGGAGCCGAAAGTCCAACTTGGGGGGGCTAATGCGACGGTAGCCTATAGCAACCTTTGAAAGGTCAGTCTCACCTGAATGGAAGAACACAATATATACTTGTGACATTTAATAACTGTCAAAGTTAAAGTCTTAACTTTGAGATACTGTTTGAGTTCCGTGCAGTGTGTGGTAGCAATTATGGTAATGCTGACCTTTCACAATGCATGGTTCTGTGCTATGGCTTGAAAAAGTTTGAAGATAAATAACATATCATAGCAAAGAGTGACACAACAAAAACAATCAACAATTGTTCCGCCCTGTAAAGTGTGATCTTTTATGATCTTCCCAAATTGGAGTCACAAAGTACATTCCCCAAACAGTGTGGTCACACTGTTTAGGTTCTTACAGGTTTGTTGTTCAGGCTGGGCTTGATCGAGGGCGCTTGTTGTTCCCAGCATGTCTGTCGAGATCTTCGAAGTGCATTTCGACTGCGCATGCTCGCATAAACCTCTGGGCTAAACCTCTGGGCGCTTTCCTGGACCGCGGACCGCGGCGCTTTCCTGGACTGGTGCCGGGCACATGTTCGGACTTGGTGGTCACGAAGTTCGTGGCAGGCAAAGGGGAATCACATATTTTGGTGGTCTGATTTCGACCTTTTGTGGCAGGGGCAGGGGATGTGGTGTGGAGTGATTTAATTCGTGGCAGGTGCAGTGAATTGTGAACTGTGGACATGTGGCTCGAGTTTCAGAAATTGGAAGACATATCGCCCGAAAGCTTCATTGTGGCATCGTGAATGTGCCTTTTTGCGAAACGCATTGGCAGTGCTGCTCGATGTGAATCTTGATGTGCAGATTTTGTGGCAGGCGCCACATTGTGTGTGAACGTCCATGCGCAGATTTCGTGGCAGCCAAAGCTCCCCGTGAATGTGCAAATCTTGTTTCGTGGCAGGCCAAGCTCTTTGCGAATGATGCGAATAAGCATTTTTGGTTAAAGGCGCCGCACTTTGTGAGCCCATGCAAAGCTCTTTGCGAGCCCGGGGCGGCACGCATCGTGTACTTCGCTCAAAATGTGTGTTCTCACCTGTGTCCGCTCGGCGCTGTGTGCTCGCCTGAGTGCGGAAGTTCGCTCATTCATCCTTGTTTGGTTCTTGATTCCCTAGGGCTCCAACCATATCCTCAGGTGGTCTGAGCAAGGGGTCTCTTGCCAGGAACTCTGGGCAACCTGGATTTTGTGAATTCGCTCACCAAACAAGACGCCTCTGTACCACCTGGTGTTGTATAGCCAGTTTTGCCACCGAGGGTGGATCGAAATACCCAGGCAAGTATTGGAGAAGATCAATTATTGTAGTCTGTCTAACTGAGGTCTCCAAATACAACGAAACGACTCAAGTCACTTCCACATTCTTGGATGAGAATGTCGTTTTTCTATCTAAGTTGATCTAATTTGGGGTCATTCAAGGGATGCTCTGTCACATCACTGCTCAGAAGGCAGTTCCCGTCCACACCGGCAAGAATCGGCAAGAATGTGCATCCTTCACATATTCTTCAGGGAAGATCTGCCGGAGAAACTCGTCATAATCAATGTAACCTGAGAGTGGCAAAAGGCCAAAGCTTTCGCATCACGGAAACACGGTATAGAAGTTGAAGAACATCCTGTAGTATGCTGAGTGAGCCTCTCTAGATGGAGTGATATTGATATGAAGCTTTTGAGTTGCGGCCAACCACCAGATCCAACTCCCCGCCGGCTGCACCACCAATGTTCCTTATATTTCCTTATAGCTTTGAGAGTTCTGCTTGATTAGGTGGACCGGATTCCTCCAGGTTTGGAGTAGATGCCTCTTATAGCTTGCGCATGCTTGCGCCACCGCCACTTCCAACCCAAAAGGAAAAGAACCGTCTCAAGAATCTCAAGCTCGATCAAGGTGAGGATCCCACCACGACTTGATCACATCACCATAGCGGCATGGCGGTCCGGTCACGATCTTCGACCCACCGATCTGGGCCCGCAACGGGTCCACACGGCCCCTGTTTCGGACAGAATTCGAACCATACTTGGCACCATATATGCCCTATATCCCCCTCAGAACTCTTGGCTCAAATTCCCAAGACAGCAGTCTTGGCCCATCCCTATAGTAAAAACAACCACTTGGGAATTGAGCCAGTCAGCCAGTCTTGAAGGAGATGTATTGATTGTTGAGTATCCCCTCTATTGATCAACCCAGCAGGACCGTCAAAGGCCATCTGTGCATGGCACCGTTCGCATCATCATCGAAGGCCATGAATAGATCGATGGCACCTGAGCTTTCGAAAGCACGGAAAACCCAGGTAGACTTCCATTAAAGATTGAAGAAAACACGTTGAACACAGGAAAAGGTTATATAAGTACCCCTAGAATACCGCCATATCTATATATAGTTTTTGTTCATCCTGGTGATTGAGAAGCTTTCCTGTAGCTCAAGCAATATATGTCCTTTGAATAGCATCACACGCGGGGAATGAATGGATGAAGTTTGCAAGAGAATGGATGCTCAAGTGCGCCCCTTGGGTGCTCAAAGGGGCTTCTTGGGAGGGTCCCAACCTTTGAGGGTCTCAACTTGGTCGTGCTCGTTCGAGAGAACCACTCCCGGCTCGGAAGGCGCAGGTGTTGCGAACCCGACTTGAAAGGGGGTGTTTTCTGAACCCACCTATTGCCACCTATAGTGATCTGTCTGCCCTTTGAACAAAGACTTGGCAAACGGAAAAACGAAAAAAAAAGACACAACACACAGCATAGTAGCTTAGCGCACCTGAAGTGCAGTGGTCTTTGCTTTTGCGGGCTGGAAGTGTGGCAAGGGATTGTTCTTAGCTTTGAACCTTGTTGAAGGTGTGGCTAAGGTAATAGTATGCAAAGGTGTTGGGGAAGTGTGGCGCAGGTGTTGGGCGAGGGTGGTAGCAGCTATGGGTAGTACACCTAGAAGCACCAACGCAATGTCCGTAGCTAGCTGCAAGTTTGGTTTCGCTGCAAGGGCACTGCACTTTTAAGAGGAAGCTCGCGGTGTTCCTCCCACCACTGGACAATCTGCAGTATTACTGGGACCATCTGCCTGCCCGCCTGCGACGGACGATCTCAAATGCCGTTTGTAACAGTTGTTCGTTTCCTTGAACCTCCTTGAAAGCTTCAGGAATCTGTTCATTCGGTGTCCAGGCCAAGGGTTGTCGGCAACTCTCTGGCAACTTTGCAATCGTCCTGAGGTACTCGCTAGGCATAGAGAAGCCGATGAAAGAAAAAGGAAAGAGGATAAAGAGAAGAAAGCTGCTGAGGAAGCAGCAGCCGCATCGTCTTGCTACCGGTCCACTCTTCGTAGCAGCGCCAAGAAAACTGACTCAAAGTACTCTGGGAAAAATTGAAAGCTATATCTCGAATTGTCCACAATTCGAGATCAAAGATCATGGACCTCCAACTCACAGTGCTTCATGTCTCTATCGGCTCACGGCAGCTTCTGCTACGCTCACCATTTGGGCTGATGGAAAGGGTTCAATCACCGTCACTGAGCATCTGAGCGTGTCAAGATTTTGCTTCTACCGGCGGCGGTCTTCCAAGATGTGGCTCAAAGGCACACCTTCGACTTCGACCATCCCACAATCATCGGAAATGGTGAAAACATCATCTACGTCAACCAAACAACGGGAAACTGTCTAAACATGTTCCTCACTCCTCACTTCCCTCTGGGTCAAATCATCTGAGTCAGTCTCTTTCAACCTTCATTCCGTGTCCCATCATCCCGTAGTTGGCCTGAACAGGTTCGTGTCTGGGTGACTGGATTCCGGGGATGCAGCCCGCAAAGCTTCGCCGCCCAAGGAGCTTTGAGCAGTGATCCCAATTCTCATCTGCCGCATCAGCTCCAAGAACTCCTCAGCAAAGAGACGCTCACCGGCTTGTGAGCATAGCAGGCATATATACCAAGCGTCTGAAGGAAACAACAGAATCCAAAGCAACTGCCGAAAGGAATGTATCAAACAACGTGCGATTCTAATGTTAACAAACCTCGTCGTGAGCAGCATCCCCGGCATCCCCCCTTGCTCCAAGATATATAGGGCATAGGGGCGATCCTCGCGCATGACTTACAAGTTGGCATCTCTTTTTCTAGACTGACATCAAGTGGCAATGACAGTCGATCCACCAGTTTTGAGGACTCTAGCTTGTTTCTGAGCATGCGGTCTTGTTCTGGAAAAGCACAAGTTGATGTGTTCAATCAGTGTGTGGTCACACCCCGTCACGATTCAACGCGGGCGGATTCCGGATCTTGTTTTTTTTCGTATCCGACCTCGAGCCGTGAGTACCCTTGAACATGCCCTGAGACTAGTCATATTATACTAAGTCATATTTTTTTGACTTGAGACTATATAGAATACTTCAAATCAATATTTATCATTTGTCAATGATTTGGGGCGGTTGAAACGGGGTCAATGCACAGTAGGCACATATATACCAATCCCATGGAGTGTCTGGGATGGATCGTCTTCCAAACAAGGTAGGCAATACAATTCACTTGCCAAGTTCGCACCGATCCAGGTACTACAGCATGCTATACCAGCTATGCTACTGCTACGGCTACTGTTATGAATTCCAAACACCCAACTCCAGCAGCTAAATACCGCCCAAGATAGAACTGCTGACTACACTGCTGACGACGTTGATCCACATCGGGGGATTCACGGCCGGGCTGACAGCGCGAAGCTGAACCCTTAATGAACGTATTGCAGCTCATCAGCTCATTCTCAGGCCGGCCGGTCTTAGGATTTCACGGCCGGGCTGAGAGAAGCACCTTTTTCTCCCTCCACTCCCAGCCATCGCCGTCACGCCACCGTGAGGGCTAGGACGCCATCGCCGTCCACATCCACGTACTCAATGAGCATGCGCAAATCCTAGCGGGGCACATCTGTGGGGAAGAACACTCCAGCTTCCTTCAAACGCGACTTTGTTTTTTGAGGGGGTCTCTAACAAGTGGTAGGGCTAAGTGACCTCAAAGCAAGGGATCCAAAGGGTACTTTTGATGACGGGTTTGTTCATGTCCTTTTTGTACTATACCATCACCCGCCTATAGATCTCCAAAATGGAGGTGATCAAATTAAGCTATTTTCAGATGAGATCTAGACAATACAATTACAAGTATTATGCAGTGCATTCTGGGACAAGTGTTGAACTGTGCGACACTCAATCCCATATGCTCGAGTCAGTTGATCGTCTTTCTGCTGGTCCAAGTATATATAAGCCCGTATGCACTTGCCATGCCCTTGGGCACTGCGTTATGGAAATAGACTGAATCTTTCAACCGTAGCATCAAATCTTGCAAAGGGCAAGGGGTTACAAAGTTATATATATATGTACCGCAAAACAGTGGAAAGTACAAAACCATTAAACAAACAAACACACAAATGATTTTTTATGTCTTGTTTCAAGAAGCAAAACTACCTCCTCCTCTCCAAGTGTTGTGATCCCCAGATCCCCACCTTGGCACTGTAGCCCCACTTGACCATGCATCGGCGAATGCGATTCTTCAACAAGACCTGGCCGAGGTCGAGGTCGACGCGATGACTAGAGCACTCTCCACGTCGCTCTGTGACTGACCCGCGGGTGTGACCAGCGGGGTGTTGGGACCTGTTTCGGTCGTTGCAATGATTTGTTCGAGTGGAAAACGTATTCAAACGTATTCCATATGCGTTCGTTTGTCTTTAGGTGGAACCACTCGCACAATCAAGCACTAGCTGATTCACCCTCAAGGGAGCGAAAATCAGGACTGCTTTTGGCAGGTGCGGGTGCATCTTGCCAGCTTGAAGGAGCGTATATGTGTATATGGAAAAAACCAACAATGTACGGATTTTGCATTGAACATTCCTGAGAGTCTGGGCACCCACCAATGGAATTGTCCCCCAGCACGTCTCCACTTTTCCAGCACGTCCCCGAGCGGAAAGCATGCGTGCCTGGCCCCTTTGCTGCCAGGATTGAGTGAACTCATGACCTGCCAAGTCGACGTTCTACTCCCGTTTCAACGGGAGCTGGGTGCAGCGACTCGCCGGTTCTCCGGGGCAACACGAGGTCAATTCAAAACGAGCTCGGAGGGCGAAGCACCACTGGTTCCGATAAAGAGTGTCACCCTCAGAAAGGAGAACATGAACAGTTTCGCAGGATGATCCACATGATCCACTTCTTTCTTGGAGCGGTCTTGCTGATAAAGATCATGACGCAACTTCATGAAGCTCCGAGAACCAGAAATCGCTGGCTCGTTTCGGATCGCCTATCTCCCGTCATATCTCGAGGCGGCCGGGTCGGGTCGGTCGGGTCGACGTTGCGAGGTCCGAGGAGCCAATGATTCCCACAGGGAGCGCCAGGAAGAGCACACTGGAAAAGGTGAGGAGCGAGGCAACGATGTAGCCGGTCTGAGACAGAAACCCGCAAACCAAATGGCTGACAGGAACGTGCACTAATCCCATAAGAGGCTGCAGTTCATGGCTGGGAAAAGAAGAAGCCAGCTGCTCCTAAATTGCAACACATACTGTATAGGCCTCGGCTAGCAGACCGTTTGCACCCTGCAACCATCTCTCCATCTAAGTTCGGCGCCAAAGAGGTCGGGAAGTAGTCGCCGTAGCCTACTGTGGTCATAGTCACGATCGCCAGCCACATGGCATGGTAGATGCTGGGGATGTTGGAACGTTCTTCCTCAGGTAGAGATGACACGACATCATTGGTTGCTCCCGAGTGTGGCATTGTGAGAAAATAGCAAACATGAGAACCTTACTCTTCCTTGAACCCCATGGGGAGGTCTTAGCTCAAGTTACATACACAAGCTCAAACTCTATCCATTGAAATCTGTAAAAAAGAACCGCTATGAACCTGAGACAACCAAAGAGCTATGAGCCTGATACAACCAAGTTTGTCGAAAGCTCTTGAGGCGATGGCGATGCAGCATATATATATATATATATATATGAGTTCATCCCAGCATCCGCCAAGTACATCATCGTGGCAGAGCTCAAACACAAAACCACCATGATGTAACCTTGGCGTCACATCACCCAGACCGGACCGGCGACATGGACCCCGGGTCAATCAACCACCCCGGGTCGTGGAGTGCGGGACGGGACGTGGGGCGCGACGAGGTGAACGGTGGGGAGCTGCTCCACTCGGTGAGTCTGTGGGGTGCTCCTTTTGACCATGTGAAGGAGAAAAACATGGTGACGGCGTCCCTGGAGGGGCGGGACTGTGATCACTTTTGACATATTCATGAACGCACACGGCATCATGTAGCTGTGGAGATTTTCGCGTGGCAGGCATGCACGACATTAACAGAACTTGGGATCAATTTGAAAAGCTACTGTACATCATGCCACATCCCATATAACTTGTCGTCCAGGAACTTGAATGTGCAAAGCACAACTACTGCTCTCATGAGACACTGCTTGATATGGCAACCAACAAAATTGGCCCGTGGAAATTACCGGGATGAGTTGGGACAACTCTGCGCAAAGCACGAAAGTTGGAGCATGGCGCTTCGGATGCAAAAAAGGAGTGCTTGCATCCGGTACCGCACCTCTACAAAGGCATGGCCTGACTGCGTTGGAGGCCAAAGGGGTCGGGAGACAAGCACGACCGTTTGATCAACCGTTTGGGCTCCCTGGTCCACCAGCGGTGGTCGCTCCAGCGGTCGCCGTGCTGGATGTATACCCACCAGCCCTCAAATCATGCAATTGAGTCAGGAAGACAGCCAAAGAATTGTTTAGTTGCATATATTTCTTTCTAGCCTCTTCCTAACTCTCACTCATGGAAAAAATGGATGGCACATGATGGCACCACCGGTTTGGCACATCGGAGGCCACGCCATCCACTCACGCCACCAGGCAGTGCAAGGAGGAGGGCCATCCAAGCAATCCACAGCTCCATGGAGACTAAAGGCTGTGGAGGCAAAACGACTGACCCATACCTTGGGTCTATCTATCCGAGTCTACCTGGGCCTCACTCAATATGATGATGGTTAGGTACCAGGCCAACAGTCCAAAAATAGTGATTTGCTTGTGAAACCTGACTGTTCCAGGTAAGTTCGGACAAGGCCCCACCCATCCCCTGTCTTCTTCCATGGCCCCTTTTTGTGAGAACCGAACCGGCCTCGCGTTTTCGCTGGGCCTCCGGGCAAAGCACGGGTAGGGCCTCCACACTGTTGCGCGTGGCATCAATGAGTAAGCGGAAGGACTCCTAAGAGGCGCAACTCCGGAATCCGGTCGGTGTTCATCTGTGCAGCACATGCACTGGGTCTGGCCAGGTCGGATGCGGCATTGGGACAGGTCCAATGATCTCAGGGTTGGAACAAAAACGATCTGCAACCCCGACACCGATTGAAGACTTGGACAACAACATCTGGGTTGGTCTGGGAGCCTGGCGATTCTGTCCTGGACGGTGAGGATGAAGAGTCTATTTTAATATAGGGTTAAAATATATTAGATAGCAAAGAACAGAAAAGAATAACACCACATAATAATAAATAGCAGATATAATAAAAGTTGGCGTAGAAACCAATATGAATGAAACCAGGTTAGCCTACAGTCTAACCAGGGTTAGCCTGGAACCAGTTTTTCTAGGTTTACAAATGCCTACGGTTTAGGTATTTGATAGTCTTTGGAACCACTGGTTGGCCTGGATCCACTTGGCCAGGTTAATCGGTTAATCTCTGCCTGGTCCCGCCTTGAGAGAAAAAACATGCCTTGAGACGCCTGCTTCACAGGGCTTTAAGTGAGGCTACTACGACCCGCTTTCCTCGGCTGAATGGTCCGACGGTGGAGCGTCTGGCGACTCTGCGACCCATCCCATGCGACACGCACCGGCTTGACATGCTGCCCTCGTCATATCCCTCGTTCTCGCATGAAATATCATGCATCCAGAAACCCCCTGTGTTCTACACCTCTTTGGACCATGTAATATCTGGGTGTTCACAGAGTCCCCAGAAGCCAAGCCTTCTTAGCCAAAATGGCCAACTTCCTCACTCTGATTAGCCATGATTAGCCTTGCGATCTCATGAGGAACATTCGACCCCTCGAACTCGAACCACACAGCAGCGGCTGCCAAAACCGAGGAACAAAGTAGCGAAGAAGCTTTAAGAAGCGAATCAAAGGCAACAGCAGGAAAAGGGTGACCACCATTGATCCTTGGCAACCACAGCGTGCACAGCATGCACTTAAATAAGATCTTATACAGTAGCAAAAACCGTATGTGGCACAGCCACTCTGAAGAATGGATGGCCTTGCATTTTTTTTGGTGGCAGTGATGTTTTGTGTTTGGAACCCCTTGCATGCCTTACCTACGACGTGGTGACGCAATCCGCGTTCTTTGGCACTCTGGGCTACAAAGTGATTCACACATCTTAGAGCGAAACATTCCTGGGTTTGATGGTCACACCAGTGACTGGCTACAGGTTCACCTCTCCAAGTGGAGACGATGTCGGCGGTTGACTCGAGATACATCACCCCGTGGACATCGTGGGACGAAGCGTACGGCGGTCAGCGCATCTTCGGACCTGGGGACATTGATGGAGCCCCCCCATTCGCCAAATACCATGCGTTTCCAAAACCGCCATACCGTGCGCTGAACGTGAAGAGTGATGGACCATCGGACAGAAGGATGGGCGAACACACAAATGACAGAAGGATGTGTGGTGCCTATACTGTTGTGTGCAAGTGTGCCAGTGTGCCCCAAAGGCGACTTCATTCCAACGCCCAAACAGCCGAGCCAAAGAAACCAAGAAAAAAAGAAGCAACCTACGCACCAAAAACTCCTATGGCGTTTAGCACACCTCCATCAAGATGCATCATGCAAAAACCAGGCAACCCCTTCCCATTCCCATTCAGCTCCCAGAACCCAACCGGTTGGTCACAGATGGTCACCGGTCAGTGACCGGCAAACCTCACCCAGTGGCGTGAGCCCTGCGTCATCGAGGTGGTCACGACAAAGCCCGCGGCGCCACGGATCAGCAGCCCCGTGGCCGAGACCCTGAGACGCAAGCGCCCAGGAGGAAAAGCGCCCACGATCGGGTGCGCGTTTTGATCGAAATGGGGAAGTCCGGAGGTCCAGGAACATGGGTGAGTAAGGGCGCCGGGTGAGGGAAATGCAGGAAGGTCAGGTCAGGTGCCCCCAGTGTCGTCCAACGTTTGAAGTCCGGATCAGTTCCCATCTTTCATGTCTGCTTGACGTCAAACCATTGTGGTAAAAACCAGGTGGTATCAAATAGCTACGTTCGTGGCTTCTTGTTACTAGCGATGGCCTCCAAGCTAATTAGCCATGGCCTCCACCGTGCGTAGCTTCTTGCTAGTTGCTTTATATAACCCAAACACTCCATGTCTGTCATATATGCCTACATTGACCCCTCAAAGGTCCTTGGAGTTTGAGGACGCGTTCCGCGATCTGCCCAGGCACATGTCTGGCCAATTGAGAGGATCCGACAAGTAGCTTCGCTTCGATGGGGCAGACCTCGGCACAGCGACCGACACAACGGTGGCGGCCTGTGTCGGCGCCTGTGTCGGAAGGGGTGAAGAAGCATTTGGGTCGTTGTCAGGTGGGGCATAACCTTTTGGCCGCCAAGACAAGAACATGAACAACGACTTCATTATATTCCACATGGACAAATTACCTACTACTACTGTACATTACATTCCGGAAACCACTCCGGTACACATGCCAGTCGGGTGTCTGGGGATGAGCAACAAAATAGAGTCCGCCGTGCTTCACCAGCAGTGCAGGTGTCTGCATGCTTTTCACTCTTAAATGGACAGGTTTCAGGGTCAAAGGCAAAGGCTTCAAGTAGTAGGGCGTGGTGAGTGTAACTGCAGAAAGGATGCTATAAACACACCGATCCTCCACTTAGGAGGAATCGATGCAGCCAACTACCAACGCATGACCCGTGCATTGGACCCAGGAAAAAAAGGGAACTCTGCTGCAGGATTCGCTCTCTGTAAGGAAGGAATTTGGTGGTGTTGGGCCATTCTCATCCCAAGTCTTGGCTTCAAGGTCTGTAGCCACGGCTGCCTGTAGTCAGTGCGTGGACTGATTCAGTTCGTACTCTAGAAAATGGGACATGCCCCTATAGGTATATACTTGTACCCATTTTCATCATTTTCTAAGGTACGTACAGACAGGTGGACCAACTAAAAATGGGTCGATGGTGTGCCCATCGAACTATTCAGCAATGATGGATTTTTTCTCCACAGCTTGATGGGCTGATTCTTGAGCCCATGGAATGACTCAACATTGGAATGACCAAGGCATCCAATCCCTCCGACCCACCAAAAACACACCCGCTCAAGTCCCTCAAAGCAACATGCGCGAGCCCTACCCTGAAAGTGGGAAATGAGTTCAACCCCGCCTCCTATGCGGCTAAAGTTTGTTCGTTAGCATTCCATGCGAGGAGCAAAATGCGGCACAGAAATTCCTCGGTGGCATCGCAGGGCGAATGGGAGGCCTGTCCAAGGTCCAAGTTGGGCATTCTCAATTCAAAAGGCCTTGGTTCCCCCCTGCTTGCTTTGCAAATACATTCAATCACCAAAAATACCTGGTAGCAAATGGTAGCAACATTTGCTATGACTCCGAACTCCCCTGAATGTTTTTGTTCCAACTTCTTGAGAAAAAAAACAGGGGTCCGCCCTACATGGGTCGCACCATGCCCTCCCGGCCAGCATGGGTTCCATGTCAGACTCGACTAGCTGCAACACCTTAATCCATGAGTT